AAAACATAGAATAGTAAAACGTTCCAAAAATAACCAAAATTCAAAACGGGAAATACGGAAATTAATTATTCGGAGGCTTAAACGAAGGAATTTGGCTAAAATCCAGAGATCTTTGTGCCCCGAGTCCAATTTTTCGTTCCGTTTCCAATCAACCAGTCAAATTTCAGCCCATTCCGATACCATCGCGACAAATGCCAAAATTGCCCCTGACGCGGTCTTTTTTTGTTAATTTTCTGTCCAGCACTTCTTCAAACTCTAAAACTAGTTGTCCTACATCATGAACAAATACCTAATATTATTGAGTTAAATATTTCAATAGCCATTGAACTTTGTACCATGTCACTGTTTATTCATTGAACTTCATTAAGCGTTCCATTAGCCACTGAAATTTGTTCTGTTTCACTCCATCACTCACCAGATGGAATTTGTTAGTAGATCTGATGACGGATAAATGATGTGGTCATGTAAGTGTCAAGTCACCACCACGTATCATATATTCCAAACACGCCTTTCCCAATTCTTGAACACACGAGTTTGGAAAAGTAAATCCCAAATTATAAGGGCCTAAAATCCATTTTTCTCCCTAACGAACTCGTCTCTCACGCTTCGTCTCTGAACCCTTATCCCCAAATCAAGGTCATAAGTAAACGAAGCAGTCTCCCTCCATTGTTGCCCCTAAATTGAAACATGTTTATTCAACGGCCACTGATTTGAATTGCACCAAATGAAAAATTCAACGTCCAAGCATTTTGAAGATTGAAGGATGTGCTAGAACCATGGTAAGAGTTTGTTCCAGGACTATTTGGAAGAAGACGGTACGAATTTCGTTATTTGGTAAGTGCCTACAAACTGTTAAACATATTATATTGGTTTTTGGTTTGAAATATGTCTTTTTGTCATTGTAGTGAACCAATCTTATGAATTTCTTAAGCGTTGTTTCTAGGTACATGAGGTGTACATTTCAAAAAAAAAATCATTGCATTCCTAATTTATGATCAATGGATTACCTAATAAAAAGTTTTTGGTCTATGCCGTTTTGCATGATTTTGTGTTCAACAATTTGTATTTCGCGGTGCATTGATTTTGTGTTCAGTGAATTTCATTGAAGATTTATCGTATATGTTGAAGAAAGTTGCTCAAATAACCGAACAAGAAGACGTGAAGATATCTTTGAATATAACTATCCGCAAGGGAAATGATGTATGGAATAGAACGGGAAAGTAAAGGGAAGAGATGCTTGAATTTGTTCCAATTGAGTAATTGGTTAAAGGACTGATGTTCTATTTTCATGTTTATGTAATCAACACTAAATTTGGCGTAAATTATGTTTGACATATGTTGTACATGTATCCTCTCTCTATGAATTCAAGTATTTATTCAGGGACGTTAGTCGCGATGCTTTTATTGAATTACGTATTTGATCTCACGTTGGCATACAAATCATGCAGCACCACTATTACAACCAGATTTTTATTGTGTCCGCGTGTTCAATTGCAAACATCTTCAAAGATATTCACTTCATTTGCAATGTTCAACGGCTGACCTAGGACATGTAATTTTCCATCAAATTGTGGATTTCCGAGCTGATCATAAGCATTACAATTCATAGTGAAGACATTACCAGATGTCGTTAAGGCAACAGTTATATGGTGTCCAAACGCTAGCTAATGGATATTGTAGTCAATAAGGGTAGCACACAACTTGGGAGTAAATAAGTTTCCTCGTTACCATGTTAGAAACAGTTAAAATACCTAGCATTAATCATTCGCACATAAAAGTAATAACCAAAATGGCCATCTCTTTAGTAGGCAATGAAGAAGATGATAGATTTGTACATTTTCTTATTCATCTGTATATAGTAATTCAACGATAGATTATGGCATAGAGAAGCAGTACATAAGCTATCGGTTCATACTCATGTATACTGTTATCCTCCCCAGATCCGAGGTCCTAGATCGGATGCCACGTAAGCAAACAGAATCACGTGGGACCAGACGTCAGCTGCAGAATAATCAGCAAGTCAAAAGAGGTCCAGTAGGTTAGACACGCCAATGAAGACAAGTAAGCTGAAGTCCTCAACACAAATACCCGAAGTTATCACACTGTAACGAAGCCCAGTTTGAAGTACCTCGTCCAGACGAGGCTCAGGCCTGTCTGAGACTCTCTCCACTCGTTTGAGGTTCATAAGCCGATGCTGTCCCATGTAATGGATTTGAAGATCTCTTAGAAATGATTGATGTGATATTTGTAATAAAGTGTGTCAGAATGTCAGTGTGTCAACCTAAGAATAGAACGGCTTGCCCTCTGCAGAACATTGATTGCATAGATGAGACAGTAACGTGAAGCTTCGACATGGAGGATGTTGCCACGTGGTTTTGATCCAATAGTCACCACATCGGCCGGACTTGTATAAATAGTCTCAATTTGTATAAACAAAAGATGACAATTTAGATGTAAAAAAGAAAGATCAAAGAAACAACACTAGACTAGTTTACTTATCTTGCTCTCAAAAGTTTGCACATGTATGATAAACCAATGTATTGAGATTTCAAAACCAAATAATTTATGTTCTCATATCTATCATTCAACATATTCCATTACAAAAGAGAGAGTAAGTTTGGGAAGATCAATCGGGCACTTGTCAATAGTACGTGCGCCGTCAAAGTAAACCGCCGGAGCTTGAACATTTGTGTCTCTTGTCGAAAAGTGCCTCTCGCGTCCATTCCAGCTGAACTACCGTTCTCGTCCCCGTAGAAACGCGTTGGATCCATACTTGACATGGTAAGGGTGGGCCCGACATCTGTTGAGTTCAATTTTTTGGTTCAACATATACAATGAAGAACACATTTTTTACATGTTCAGGATTGACAATTTACTTGTACAAGTCAAAATGTCGAAAACCTCTCAAGAACCAACACAAATTTAACTGCATACATACTCTTTTCCAAACTATAGAAGATTAAGATGCTGCTGCTGCAGAACTGAATTCATTTGGCTGGTTCTTACCTAACAAATTGGCGACAAGCAAATCAACATCCTCTAGACCGACGCTTCTGCACTTGCCCATGCATTTGTAGCTAAAAACTCCAACTTCAAACCCAACTATCTTCTGAAATTCCTCTAATAATGCTAAAGCCCCTGATTTCTTCAACATACTTCAACCATGCACACGTCAATTTTCATTGCAAAAGCTACTTTAACCAAGTCATTCCCATCACTTGAGCACATTAAGAACTACATTTGCCTCCAAGGGTATAAGAATCACTACATCATTTAAAATCAGCAGAAATTCTACTTCCATAACTGAATTAAAATTGTTTTCAGAATTCATGAAGTTTGGATCATCCACATATTTGTCAAAAAATTAAAGCGCATTAAAAATTGGATAGAAAAATCTACTAAATATTTAATTACAGTATATAACATCATTTTAAACATCAAACAGTAAAATGAGTAATGTAGTGTACTGAAAATGAATAATGTAAGTCACAAGATAGTAAATCGAAATCGAAATCCACACTCATTTTTGCTGAACTAAAAGCATGATTTTATTACTCTTACTGTATATACAAAAAAGGGTTTTGAAATAGGGGCATGAAATGAGTAATGTAGTGGGACGGAGCAAGGTTTAGGGTCTGTTTGATTGCAAATGTGGAAAATGAGTTGAAAGAAAATGAATTCCAGGGAATTGAATTGCGTAGAAATTATTTTACTATGAATTGTAATTAATTGTGTTTGATTGATATAATTTTCACCTGGTTCGTTTGACTTTATTTTTCACCAAAATTGTCAATTAAATGGATAAAATTTATTAGAATTGGTGATAGAATTTGTTTGGATTGCCAAAAAGTAAAATAAATAAATAAATTCGATTTTTTTTTTTTGTTGGACTTTGTTTTTCATGCAAATTGTCAATTAAATGAATAGATTTTTTTACCATTGAGTTTGGAATTTGTTGTCATTACTAAAAAAAATGGAAACCATTTTCCAACCAAAAAAATGTTACCGTGTGAAGAAAATGTTGAAATCCAATTCCCAAGAAAATTATTCCCATCAAACAAGCAAATTGGTAAAAGATGGAATTTGAATTCCTAGTTCCATGGAAAATTTTTCATATCAAACATAGCCTTAGTGGCAAATGAAACGCTCGATGAAGTTCAGTTAATAAGCTGTGAGATAGTGCAAAGTTTAGTGACATTCAAATATTTCACTAAATATTATATAATAACAATAAATAAAAATGTAACACATGAACTCTTTTATAAGTAGACTGCTATATTGCCCTTCAATAGATAGAATAGATCTCTCTTGAGAAACATTTTAAGAGCTTGTTTGGTAACACTAAAAGTCCAATTAAAATTGAAAATATAGTTGTTATTGGGTTCCACCCGTCTAATAAAAGTCAACAATAACGACTAATTTTTCAATTTTAGGATCTGTTTGGGAGGGATTAAAATTTTCTACAGTAAATCAATTCTCATTTTCAACCACACATTCTTCAATAAAATAATATTTTCCATCACATCAATAATTTTTTCTTCTTTTTCAACCACACATTTCCCATCATATCACTATTCAAAATCAATTCTTCCCTCAAAAATCTATCACAAACAAGCTCTTAATCCGATTTTAATCTCTACCCAACACACTCTAAATAGACAAAAATGGTTCATAGAGGACTCTGAAGTGTCACAAAATTAGAGGATTGGCGACTTTATTGTTTGAAGATTGAAAAGCTGGTCCACTCTCGTAGATCCGATTAATTAGATATGTGACATTTACCCAAAAAAGGAATTTGAAAAATTCCCTTGTTTCAGTTATCCACGCGTCCTGTTTTAAGAACAGCCAGCCAACATTTACACGCTTCCTCTCTGCTGTACCTTCTCCATAATCAAACTGTAGAAAATTCTCATTTTTCTCCAAAGTTTTTCACATTCAGTTCATTGAATTCAGGCGCGCACGCACACACTCTCTATAGATAATTTTGGATTGAGAAGAAAATGTCGAGCGACAGTGACGAAGATGAGCTCTTGCAGATGGCATTGAATGAGCAATCAAATCGGGATGTCAATTACCAGAATCCCTCGAAAGCTGCATCAAAGCCAGTGCGAAATTATGTGCCGCCCCCGGCCAATCGTGCTCCTCCTCCCGTGGCGGGGAGAAGCGCTAACTCTGGGCAGGGGAAGGGGGTCAATCAGCAGCAGCGGAAGAAAGGGGGAGTAGAGGAGGACGAAGATTCGGAGGTTGAAATGTTGAGCATTTCTTCAGGGGATGAGGATGATCGTGGTGGTGGCGGGCCGAGGAATAGGATGCCGGGCGGACGGGAGGATGATAAGTTGTACGATGGGGAAGAGCCCAATTGCTGGAAGCGCGTTGATGAAGCCGAGGTATCTGCATGTATATCTGTATCAATTAGTGGCATGCATTCCTCATGTATAAATAAAGCGGATTATGACTTGACAGAGTTGTTGGTTAAAACTGATTTTAGTGATTTTATTTTGTTTACCTCTGCCTATTATCTATAATCAACTGATGCGCTCACATACGAAGAGCTTAATTACCCACCAGGACGATGAAGCTAACTCTGACCTCATACAAGCATATTATTCTGCACTTTTATGTATGTAAAATCATAAAAGGTGTACCTTTTCTTACCTACATTTTAAAGAAATCTTTAGCTTTTTGAATAATGTACAGGATGATGAAGCTAACTCTGACCTCATACGGGCATATTATTCTGCATTTTTATGTATGTAAAATCCTAAAAGGTGTACCTTTTCTTACCTCCATTTTAAAAAAATCTTTAGCTTTTTGAATTATGTACAGAGACATGATGTCGAGGAAATATATGTTGCAGTAATTTCGAGCTCATGAGTTAAATAAAGTGAATCTATAATTTCTTGAACTGTTACGAAGAACTTCTTGAAAAACATGAAACAGAACAAAATAGAATTCCCTTGCGACTCATGATCAACTGGGGGAAGATCAATAGTACTAGGTGAGGTTGGTCTCAAAAGAGCCCATTTTCACTTATCGTTTGGTCTTCATTATTTCCTAATCCACGAGTGACGGTAGCCACAAAGGTTGAATTGAATTTATTAGTTAGTATTAACCAGTGGCAAAACCCCACAGGTGCAGGTGCAGGTGCAGGTGCAGGTGCAGGTGCAGGCCCAAACTCGAAAACTTATATTCACTCCGCAACTAATTTAGTTGATTACCATTTTCACCCGCAGTATTTTTTATAATGAAATGTATTGTAGTATTTTCTCATTGGCCCAGCCATGGGACACTATCTTGTTTTACTCTTGGTTATGACCTAGAAAAATGAAGAATTTTTGGAGGCCTTCCTTCTCCTGAAGTTGCAATTCTATTATAGCAAATTCTTTAGTGAAAATGAGCAGAGGAAGTCAATAGGATATACATCCAACGAACTGATAATTTTGATGTTGCCTTTTATCAAATTGTCAATTTAAGTTCCTTCGCAATGTACCACATAAGAAAATTCATATTGTTTCCATGAAGTGTTCTTTATTTTCTTTCCATCAATCAAATGGAGTAATTTAATTGCCTCCCTTTTCCTTTTGGGTAATACTCATACTTCATATCATGTACTTCTTATTAATTGGTATGCATCTCTCAGATTCTTTTACTTCACAATGAATATCTTTCAAAAGGATTTTAAAATTAAGTACTCGCTTGGTTTGACCGTTTCTTCAGTTTTCCTCTAGTTTTGGTTTTACTCTCTCCTTTATTCTTTGTTGTTTGGACACAGGAAACTCTTCGGGAATAACATTATAGCCCACACATCATCCTCCCTCCGGAACATGGTGATGAGGATGCTGTTTGGACACAGGACTGAATGATTTGCATTTCGAATGTTGGGTCGTTGAACAAATTACATCATTATTTTGAGGAACATCAACTTTATGTGCCTTATCAACTATTTTAATTAGCAGATATTTGGTGATATTCATTTCAGCATAAACTGTAGTTCATAAGCTAGCAACGTCAACCATTTTCTAGATTTTTTGGACATGTCAAGGGTCGGGCAGTTACGAATTATTCTCACTGAAAAGCTATATGAATTTTTTATCTTAAGTTGAAATGGAACGTTTCATGATTTAACCCTAAGTGGAACACGAGAGAATTCAGTTTAAAGAATAGAAAATTAGGATGTACATTTTCCAAATATTCTTTATTCTGGCAAAGTAAGAACGACATATTTCTGTGTCCGTTTCATGATTTAATCCTAACTTTAATGTATATTATTACCCATTACCCAGTTGTCTATATATATTTTTTTTCTTTTTTCCCGGTTTTCAACTGCCTTTTTGATCTAAAGGCCAAATTTGGTTATTGATTTTGTTTGGCAATGGACACGCATTTATTGTAAGTGACTTATTCCTGCTTGTCATTATAGTTGTCTTCCCCCTGTTTCAGGGTTCTGTTTTGATATTCACATTTCATTTTTTGGCTATTTGTTTGTATACAACATAATCATGGAAAAGTCTAGGCACTTATTGAACTTGAATACTCCTGGCAGCTGTCTCGGAGAGTTCGCAAGATGAGGGATACGAGAGCAGCTCCAGTGGCCCAAAAGTTTGAGCGGAAGTCATCAGCGGCTAGAAAAGCACTAAACCATTCGCCGTCACTTCCTCGAGGCATGGAATGGGTAGATCCACTTGGACTGGGGTAAAATCTGTTATGCCAGCAATATTTTTTTTCCTTTAAATTCTCTCCCCCCCCTCAAATTCTGCCTGTTTTTGCTAATTTGTATTTATGTATATTGACAGGCTAATTAACCACAAAACATTTAGATTGATCAGTGATAATGCCGCAAGTGCTCCTACCGTGGTTCGTAATGAACCTCTTGATCCCAGTGCTCGGGGTATTTTTGTTATTGTTTCTTCAGCATGCATTTTCTTTGCTCATTTTTTTTTAATTATCTGAGAAGGAAGCACCTTTCATTACCCAGTCAAAAAGGACAAGTCTGTATTCAGATATTAGAATGTTCAATGTTGATTGCATTGTATGACACTTATGTTTACATTGATTTCTTATACTAAAATAGATTATTCCTATGACAGTGATATTTGACATTTTAGTTTTTGATGGTTGAAACGTGCTCATACTTGCATGTGGTCATGAACATTCTGATTAACATGTTCTTTGGAGACATGTGACTGCTCGGTAATTACTATAGGACTGATCACATGGGCCTCTCGGCTCGCTAGAGTCTACCCACGTTATTAATAAATTAAAGGCGTGAAATGTAAGAAATTGTTTAAACTAGGATCATTTAACCTTTAAGTAAATTGAACAAGACACAAATATTCTAAGCTTACAAGAGCCTACCTCTCTGGGGTTCTTTTGGATATTTAATGACAAACATTATCAATGAAATTAAAGATGCAATGCTTTATATAACAGTATATGATTTTAATTTTAGACTGTGAGCTATATGTTTGATTCACTTCTGTTAAGTGGTACTTAACTGGCAGCACTTTGAGTCAAAGTTTATTCAGGTTAAATTGGAGGGGAATATAGCTGACCGGTTTTCTAAACTCAACTTTCTTAAATAATTTTGCAGAGAAGTTGAATTATTATTCAGAGAAGTTTGATGCAAAGCTTTTTCTATCCCGAGTACACCTAGACACCAGTGCAGCTGATTTGGAAGCTGGCGCTCTTTCATTGAAGACTGATCTTAAAGGGCGTACTCAGCAGAAAAAAGAGTTGGTCAAAGGAAATTTTGATTGCTTTGTCTCTTGCAAAACCACTATTGACGGTCAGTTGGATATCCAGCATACCCCGTTATCTATCATACCCCGTCTAATCAAAATGACGATATTTTATCAATTACAGATATTGAGTCAAAATTGAAACGAATCGAGGAAGACCCTGAAGGTTCTGGAACCTCTCACTTATTTAACTGTATCCAAGGAGTTAGTTCTATTTCTAATCGAGCTTTTGGACCTCTATTTGAGAGACAGGTAGGTAGGGTCCCAGTTCTGAATTAGTTTTTATAGTTTACCAAATTTGGTTATATGCTAGTCTTTATTATTTCTAATTGAAGTCGGAAATATATTTTTCTAGGCGCAAGCTGAGAAGATCAGGTCTGTACAAGGAATGCTTCAGAGGTTCCGGACCCTGTTCAACTTGCCCAGTGCAATTCGGGGGAACATTAGTAAGGGTGAACATGATTTGGCAGTGAGAGAGTACAGGAAAGCGAAGTCAATCGTGCTGCCTTCTCATGTACATTTTTTTAGTTCATATTATTTTATCGTCCAAATCAGGCATAATATAATTTCTTATGCTGTTGAAACCAAGGTTCTTCCTACCATTGTGTTTTAGTTTACAGGGAATGGAATGGGGTTAGTCTACATTTCCTTCTATGGATCTCTCTCTCTCACTATCTCTCATCTTATTGTATGTGTAACTTATTGTTTCATTGAGGGACTTGGTTCAAATCTGGTTTTTCTTGTTTGAGTCAACAAGAAATTTATGTTTGAAAATTAAGAGGGAAACCTCTGTGGTCCTGCTAGGTAAGAAGGTGTTAATTCTTTCTTGGTACAAATGCTCCAGCATTTATAGAGCATTATTGCCATCAAGGTCTTCCTCCCCTATTTTCTCTCCTGTAGCATATTATTTGGTTCTAAAATACAATTTTCATCAGCAATTGGAACTGAATTTCTAAACATCAACTAGTTCGAGAATTCTTCTGCCTAGTAGTAGGAATATCATCCATGACTTGTTGCATGGGCATGCTCACTGTAGTCCTATTTTATTTTATTACATTGTAACTTTCGTGATTCTCTTTCTTAGTTAATGTAATTACGACACATCTCCCTGAACTAAATTCATTTTCTCTGACAAGATGGCATCAAACGGGTTTTTTTAATGAATCTGGTGTAGTTTCATTGTTTGTGACTTTGTCGACTCCTCTTCAGAAATTTGATTTTGTGTTGGGAACAGAATGCGTGAAGAATGAGTGATACTATGATTGATTCTCAAATTTATGTTGAAGTACTAGTCTTCAATAAATAAATATTGTCCATACTCATTCTTCACAACTGTTGTTTATGTTTTTATCATTATTTTTCTTGAGAATATTATGTAATACTCACCTCCTTGAAGTTCTCAAATTGATTTTTCTTATTTTCCCTATTTAAATGAGTTTTCATTTTCATTGGTAATTTTCAGGTGGGAATTCTGAAACGCGTTCTAGAGGAGGTTGAAAAAGTAATGCAAGAGTTTAAAGGCATGCTTTACAAGTCCATGGAGGACCCAAATATTGATCTAACAAATGTAAGGACAATTATATATGTTTCACCTTATAGTGTGACAATAGACAATTCCATGCAATGATATCATCAGATTGCTACTGATTGAGAGGGTGTGCTATTGATTTTTTTCGTGTTTGAAGAGTAGTTTGACTTTTTAGTTCATGATTGTCTAGCTACTGAAAATTTTCCTCAAGACTAATTTCTTGTGTTATTTAAATACGAGATTTAATCTTTGGGATTGTCTGTTGGAATAAAAATTATTTAGGGAAAAAGCAGCCAAAATTTTGCTTGAAGGAAGGATTTTTTCTTGTCAATTAAGAGAAAAAAGTATTATGTATTACATTTTAATCGCCACTTTTGTCTTTTACTAGTCTATTCAAGATACTGTCAAGTTTGACGAGTGTCTTTAGAAGAGATTTTATGATTTTCTCCCCCATCTCCTCTACACATACATACGCTCACATATAGACAGAACAGAACCCAATGTTTTATGAATTTGGTTAGCATTAAGAGTTGCTCACTTCTGGGAGGATGAAGGAGTTACACGCACAACTAACCTTGTGATAATGAAAACACTGTTTTCAGTTTTTAAAGCCACGAACCATTTGACATAGTTCTAATAATTACTACGTACGCTCACACACAGGTAGCTGTTTAAATCATATAAGATATAAAGACTATTTTTGGACAACTTTAGGTAATCATGGACTTTTGCTGTTTTTGTTTTTATTTAGTTGTGGATGACAAGTGAATGTTGTTGATGCTTCATGTAGCTTGAAAACACTGTGAGGCTTTTATTGGAGCTTGAACCCGAGTCAGATCCCATAAGGCATTACTTGAATATAGAGGTGAGAATTTTCTAAGCCTCTGCTGCAACCATTAATTATCATAAATTATAAAAATATATTGCTACTGGATAGAAGATATCGTGCTTGCTTACCTTATGTCATAGACTGTTACAAGTATTTTCCTTTGAAATTTTTAAGCTATGAATACTCTCCGCCCAACAGACAAAAAGACCTTTATAGCTTTCTTCCCTGTGTTCCAAATTCCAATTTAATTAATTATCTAATGACAGTCTCTTAATCATGAATGGACAATAATTTTGCTGAATTGTTGACATTCTATTGGACAGAATAACAGAATAAGAGGTTTGCTTGAAAAGTGCACTTTAGATCATGAAGAACTGATGGAGAATTTGCAGAATGAGATACATGAGAAGGCACGGTCTGATGCAAAGTGGAGGCATATTCAGCAAGATGTGAATCTACCTGTAAGTTTGAAATGTTGGGACGATTATTAATTAATTGTAAGTTGGTTGGCCATCTAACTATTTCATTTGTGATCATCAGTCTGATGTGGATCTCTTTTTTACCCATGGAAACTCCTATCTACCTGGAGATTCTGTACCAGTAGAAATGAATATTGAAGAAGTTGATGCTCTTAGGGGAAGATACATCCACCGGTTGACTGCTGTACTTCTCCATCATTTACCAGCCTTCTGGAAAGTTGCACTTTCTGTTTCCAGTGGAAAGTTTGCGAAGGTACTATCTGAAGTCCATCATGATATGTTATCTCAAATTTATAAATACAAGACATGCAAGGACTTTCCTCTTGACACAAATTGCTGTAGCGCATGCAACAATATAAATAGGAGTCAGTGCTTGTGTAGAAATCCTAAAAGATTGTAATTTATTTATTCCTGTACCATATTTAAACATTACCATAGTTAGTAGACTGTAATTAGGTGAATTGTTTTCTCTCCTAATTTAGGAGATTCCTTTCCTTTCTTCCTCACCTGGTTGTATGATAAATTGGGATGTATACTGGTTATTTGAATAATAAGAAATGTAGAAAATAATTTCTGCTTTCATGGTATCAAAGCAAGGCAGAAATCAATGACGGAAGTCTCCGTCAACAGTAAAGGCTCCATGACATCTGAATCCTGACATAGCGAGGCATAAATCAATTCTACGATGGCCTCGACTGGAGTAGATAATGCTTCCTGTCAACTCACGGTGGAGAAATTGAATGGAAGAAACTTCAGGGAATGAGCTCAATCAATAAAATTGGTAATCGATGGCAAAGGAAAGCTAGGTTACCTGACCGGAGAAACAAAGAAGCCAACTGATGCCATTCTCCTGCAAAAATAAAAATCCGAAAACTCCATGGTCATAGCGTAGCTGGTAAATTCCATGGCGCTGTCAATTAGGAAAACGTATCTCCTCCTGCCAAACGCGAAGGACGTGTGGGACGCTGTCAAGGAGATGTATTCAGACGTAGAAAATTTATCTCAAATCTTTGAAATAAAAACACGGCTATGGCAGCCTGAACATGGAGGAAGAAACGTTACTAATTATTACTTAGAGATGACCTCTCTCTCCCAAGAATTGGACCTCAGTAGTGAAGAAGACTGGGAATGCCCCGGAGACAATGTTAAGTACAAAAAAAGGCTTGAAAACTTGCGAGTGTATGAGTTCCTTGTTGACCTCAATCACGAACTTGACGATGTTAGAGGTCGAATCTGAGGTCGGCGTCCACTTCCCTTAACAGGAGAGGTATTTACAGAGGTGAGAAGGGAGGAGAACCGCTGGAATGTAGTGGTGAAGATGGGGGTGATCAGCGCAATCGGCGATGCGGACATTTCTGCTAGGGCTGTCCGTGGGTCGGTTCGGTTCGGTTCTGAAGAGACCCGAACCGACCCAAAACTTTCTGGTATTTAATAAATGGACCCGTTGGGTCCAAATATAATTATGGAACCGTTCGGGTTCGGTTCCGTTCGGTTCGGGTCGGTTCGGTTCCGTTCGGTTCCCTACCATAATTAAATTTTTTAATATTTTCAGCAACACTACATAAATACAACTAATGACATTTCATTCGTAACTTTTACAAATTAACGTAGCCCAATTCAAAAACATATAAATAACTAGCCGTCCAATAAAATTAATTCAATGTATACAAATACCAAAAAGTAGATATTAATATTACAGTAAAACTACATAAAGTATATTCATTTGCTTCAAATTAAAATGGGCTAATGGATTTTAAAAATTTTAAAATTAAAATTATGAAATAATCTAATTTATTTAATTAATTTGCTAATTTGTATGAAAAAAAATAAAATAATTTAATTAATTCAATATAAAAAATAAAAAAATTATTTAGTTTCAGTTCTTATTCGGTTCTTAGTCTAGACCCGAGACCCGACCCAAACCCATCGTTTCTCGATTCGGGTACCCGTTCGGGTATTTAATTTATGAAGAACCGCTCGATTCAGTTCGGGTTCGGTTCGGTCCGGTTCGATTCGGGACTTTTGGACACCCCTAATTTCTGCTCTTCTATCTTCATGCTTTGGGTCAACTGGGAATGAATTCAGGCCACCACAATTTGGGCCAAATTCCTCTTCTATGGTAGGAACCGGGTCACGCCAAATTGGGCTTAATATTTCTAATCTTGGGCCTACTATTAGACTTTCTAATTTTGTAAATAGTAGGCTTTCAAAATTTTGGCCTACAAGATTTGGGTCTGGAATGGCGGCTTTATCAAAAGATGCTACAAATGGGTATTCATAGATGCAGGCTGGGCTCAAAAGATGATAGAAGATTAACTTCAGGTTACTGTACCTTTGTATGGGAAAACTTGGAGAAGTAAAAAAACAGAATCTATCATTCCCATAGTTGTCGGTCTCCTAAATACGAGGAATTTGATGATCTCTTAAATACTTTTGAGTAGTGTGATTGCGTTCTTATTTTGTCTGAAGTTCATTTTTCTTTATTCAATCTTCATATTGTTGTTTTGAGACATCAATTGTTTTCTCAATTGGGATGACTATTGACGACCTTCATCTCTCTTGCTTTGAAATAATATATCTTTCCTTCTGTAGTCTTCCCAGGTGTCTTCTGATTCAAATGCCAATAGTTCTATTAATAAATCTGAGGATAAAACGAGAGATGGAAAGTACTCAAGTAATTCACTTGATGAAGTTGCTGGAATGATGCGCAATACTCTATCAGCGTACGAGTCCAAGGTAAATATTTCTTCTTGTATAAGGTAATACAGAAGTACTTTTCAACTGTTATTCTGGTGTTATTAATATATTGAAGATTGGATATCTCGGCTTTCTAATACAAATTTGACTGCCTATGTTTTGCTGCATTCAAAGCTCTATAGTAAATTTGAAACATTTCAAAAACTTGGCAATAATAATATTAGCCTTCTTTGTACTAGCACACTTTTCTCACCCATATATTCTGCTCGTAGGAAATCATATTTTCATAATTCATGCATCTACCTAATTTCTCGACTTCCGATCCTTTCTGTTTCATTTGGATATCTTGCATCCCTTGCATAATTAAGGTGTTCCTTTGACTGGTTTGTCATAGAAAGATCAATACTTGTCACTTGGTTCAAATGAACTACAGAAAGGAATCGGAATGTATTGATCATTCGTTTTTGCATTGTGATTCTGCAACATGGTTACGGTGCATGATTTCTCAAAAGCTCGTTTTGATTAGGTTCTATCAATTAGGCACTGTGGATCATTTGTGGTGATTGGACAGAAAGGGATTGCCTAATTTTTGAAGGATACCGTTTCCCTTGATGGATGTCATTTTTTATTTTATACACAAATAAATTATGTTTCTTATATATAATTTAATGTAACTCGGTGTACTTTGAAATTCTGTATAAAATATGCATTTCTGACCTAAGGGTCTGAGTCTTACATGCCTTAAGAACTAGCAACATTTATTAGTAGTTTATTTCAGCACACTCTGCCTTGATCTACCTCATAGATGCTCTTATATCTTCTCTTCTGGTTTAGCATATGAGATTTCTTGTAATTGAATGTTATTTTTTTTATAGGTCCTTAACACCTTTCGTGATCTCGAAGAATCCAATATACTGCGTCATTACATTAGTGATGCCATTAATGAGATATCTAGAGTGCGTCAAGCTTTTGAAGTAAAAGAATCAGTACCTCCAATTGCTGGTAAAAATTAGCTTCAAGTTTGAACTGAAGGAGAAAGACCTGTTTTGAAGATCCTCTTTTTCTGGTGGTTAATGTTTTTGAGTTTGTTCTAACAATATCCTTTTGTGATTACAGTTGCAGCAATGCGAATGCTTGAGTCTGAGATCTGTAAAATTTATATTATGAGGCTGTGTTCATGGATGCGGACTTCAACAGAAGAAATATCAAAAGATGAATCATGGATCCCAGTTTCTATATTAGAAAGGAATAAATCTCCATATACTATCTCCTCCTTGCCCCTGGCATTCCGTGCAATTATTATCTCAGCAATGGACCAGATTAATACGTTAAGTTTCCAAAATTAATCATATATTCTTGCTTAGAAATGGAAAGAAAATTAAGCCTTGCATCTCACCTAAATGATAATTTTCTAGGCTCATTATCATCACTCTGAAAGCAAGAAAATAGCAGTGACAGAACTTCAACGGATCATGTCTCATGAGACTATTATGAGTTACTTGAAAAGAATTTTCTGACTTACTTAGGAGAGAGGGAGGAGGGAGGGGGTAGCAAGGAGGAAGTATCAGGCTGCTTTAAAGTAAAATGCCTTGTATCAGCATTATTATCTGGAATCTGAGGCTAATGTCACGTAAAAATAGAAAATGGATTACGTGAAGGCCTTCCTTGAATTCCAACGTAAAACTGTTACAAAAAAAATCTTGACTGAAGCCACTGCTTCAATGAACTGTGCTCCAGTGTGATAAAAGTTTTGGCTTTCACAAGCTTTTGCATTCAGCATCTTACCCATAGAAGAACATCCATTTCAATCCATAATTATCCATCTGTCATTTAGGAAAAAAAGGTGGTATGTGCCACAGAATGTGTAATTTAGCATCCTCTGTTAACGTGACCTGCTTGTACTGGATCAGATCCCGTGAATGGACACGAGTGAATGACATGATCATCAAAATTGAATGTAAAATTTGTGTTCAGTTGAATGTCCTTTTATTGTTCCAAGAAACCACATCTGATATTTCTGCATCCACGGTTCGAGACTCCTATTGGGGGGAAGGGTGAAATCCTTTGATCCCCACTTTTAAAGAACTAAAAAATAAAAATTCCTGCATCCAAGCAACATAGGGCACAATGTCCTGGAAGAATTATTTTATCTTCATCTAGAATATTATCATAGTCTTCCCCATGTGCATATGGTTGAGTGCTGACACTCCTCTGGAATTATTTTTTGCTTGCCTGTGATGCCATAGTATAACTGGAGAATCCCGTCCCCCAAGAAAGAACAGGGAGAAAAACACCAATAAGAAGAATGAAAGAAAATTTGAACCTCGAGGATTTTGCACCTTTTTAGGCAGTTGGATTAGTCTTTGACATCTCTCTTGACTGTTCAATTATTTTTTCAGGATGATTCAATCTTTAAGAAGTGAAGCAACAAAGTCTGAAGATGTACATGCACAAATTCAAGAAATTCAAGAATCAGTTAGGCTTGCATTTTTGAACTGTCTTCTGAATTTTGCTGGTACAAAAGAATGACGAAACCTTAGCCTCTTTTTTCTTTTCTTCTTCAGTTTTTGCCATATTCAGTATGAAAGAAACAAGTCTGTTTTAACTAATGTAGAAACAAATAGAGCACCTAATGTTATTATCTTGTTGGCACCTTATCAGGTCATCTGGAGCTCATTGGCGCAGAACATACCCAGGATAAAGCAAGCAGAGAAAGTCCACATTTTCAATATGGAAATTCTCACGAACCACTCGAAATATCATCTGATCTTCCTGGGAGCATTATTGGTCCACATCGACAGCTGCTGATGGTCTTGAGTAACATCGGATATTGCAAAGACGAACTTGCTCGTGAATTGTACGGCAAATACAAACATATTTGGCTGCAATCTAGGTAAACAGTTCTACAACAGTTTCTCCTAAAGTCAAAAAAAATATCTCCAGTCTGTATTATTAAGAGAATCACGAGTTAAATGATAGCATTTTGATAGCATTTATTGTTAATTTTTAGTTCAAGACAAGGTACTTATGCTTAAAATATGATAATATTACATAATTAGTTGATGTAAATTAATCTTTTCTGGTAACCCGTACAATATACCCTGCCTTCCTTTTCTGTGTTTATTTCCTCTCTTTATCCTAGAAAATAAAAATAAAACAAGGTACAACATAAAAGAGAGATCAGGCTCGTATCCACTCTCTTGAACAATTTTTTATACAGGAGGCTAATGCAATGGCTTTGATGTTCAAATGCTGTGAATTGATATTTTTGACGGGATAATGCTTGCTCTATCAATAATTTCTTCCTACCTTCTGAACATTATTTTTACAGTCTGCCTTTTGTTTGCCAATTTAGGGGGAACATTGAAGAGGAAAGCGATATACAAGATTTGGTTTTGTCTTTCACTGGCCTTGAAGAGAAGGTCCTTGCACAGTATACTTTGGCAAAGGTATATGCTGAACTCCGGTCTTAAGTTCACCATAAAAGCTGTGAGATAATGTTTTCCGGAAAAAAAGAAAAAAATTTGAGATTATGGATTAGAATGTATATGGAAGAATCAAGCTTTCTTGTCATCAAGTTGTATCAATGAACATTTTATTTTCATTCATATCATATGAAGGGGTTATCAATTTTCAGACATTATATATCTTTGCTTACAGCCAGACCTTTCAGTGAGTAGCTCACTTTATTGTATAGAGTGTTGAGTGCTCTGGTTGAATCTCAACTAAGTTGGAGTAAAAAATTGCAGTAGTTAAGAAGCTTACATATTCTTGTCACCTTTAGTCATCACGAAAACTCCAGCTTTACAATTTCTGGCAGAATTATGAAAACTAGGAGACAGTTCAACCACGGCCCTGGACAGTATTCATCCTTACCTTGTAGTTTCCAGTGGTTTTTTTTATGGCAAAAATGCATATAAGACTAAGCTTTATAAAAAGACATGAATATGATTGTTATATATCTCTCTCCATAATAACGGGGTAAACTTTAACTTAGAGAAACCTTAAAGAAAGGACTTAAATTGTTTGTTTTCTAAAGTATGTGCTGTATTTTCACCTTATTATTCTATTCATTCTTTCCCAGACAAATTTGATTAGAACAGCAGCTGTAAACTACTTGTTGGAGGCTGGAGTTGAATGGGGAGCAGCTCCTGCTGTTAAAGTGAGGAATCTTTTATCTGCTCCTCATTTTTCTTCATCTCAAAGAATTCTGGTGTTATTTGCTTCTCAATGGTACAATAAAACCTTGCAGGGGGTACGAGATGCAGCTGTGGATTTACTCCATACTCTAGTTGCTATGCATGCTGAGGTATTTCAGCATACGCCATGTGGTTCAGACTTTCTTTACTTTCATGCTAATTACCACTATAAAGTAGAGAGCTTTCTAAAATTTCTAATGTGATTTTTTTTTAAAATTATTGTTTAAACATATTATGCATCGGCCTAGGATATTTCCTGAAACTATGAAAAGGTTGAGTTTTTGGTACATTTTGCTTAATCGCTTATTTTACACCAAGTTTGTTCTCCGTGAAGGTTTTTGCTGGTTGTAAGCCTCTATTGGACCACACTCTCGGTATTCTCGTTGAAGGCCTTATCGATATTTTCCTTGGTCTTTTTCAAGAAAACCAAACCAAAGAACTCAGGGCACTGGATCCAAACGGCTTTTGTCAGCTCATGCTTGAGGTAAGCTGACGCATCATCTTCCTCGCCTAAATTTTCTCCAGAACTACTCACCATTATTAGAGTCCTGGCAGGGCTGCTTCTGTATATAGTGCTCCAGCTTAACAATGAACTTGATGCAAGTTGAATATCTCGAGCACTTGTGCATTCTCATATTTATAGACAAGATTGGTTAACATGTTTATTTAATGCTTTAGATCATTTAATGTGATGGTTGAATTTCGTTCAAATTTTATCTTTTCTTTTATCATTTTCTCCGACTCCTAATTGATTTCCTCAACCATTCTGCAGCTTGAATATTTTGAGACCGTATTGAATCCTTACTTCACTCATGATGCAAGGGAATCTCTCAAATCTTTACAAGGGGTCCTGTTGGAGAAAGCGGCAGAAAGTGTGACAGATTCTATTGAGACTCCAAGTCATCAGCGCCGGGCAACACGTGGAGTTGACGACGTTCTTGCAGATGATAGGCAGTCGGGGATGGCTGTATCACCAGACGATCTGATTGTAAGATATTTCTTCTCCCCCTGAATTTTACCTTCCTATGTCTGACCATATACCCTGTTCTGAATATCTGTACATTGTTATCTTCTTCTTTCTCTGATTGTGAGCGCTGCTCATGAAATCTTGTTGTACATACTACCTGCACTGTAGCCAAATTACTTGAGCATGTTTAGCTGTGATTAAAACTTACTTAACAGGTAAGTTTGACATGCTTAGAACAGAAAATTAAAGAAAGTTCCCTTAACGAAGAAACCTAAAAATTTTAGCGAAAATTGATTGTCTTTTAAGAATATTGTTGTTGTCTCACTTACCCTCACCCTTACCCTTCCTGTTCTTGGTTCTTTTTTCTTAGGCTCTTGCCCAGCAGTATAGTTCTGAACTACTTCAAGCTGAGCTTGAAAGGACACGAATCAACACAGCATGCTTTGTCGAGTCGATTGCACTTGACTCGGTTCCAGAATCAGCAAAAGCAGCGTATGCTTCGTTTCGAGGGTCAACAGATTCTCCTAACAGAAGCTTAGGAGGCGCACAATCATTTGGTTCGCCAAGTTTCTCCAGACGAAGGCACGGATGAACTTAGTTATCGGGCATTTTCTTTTGTTAGTTATTTTTCCCTTTTTTGGTGCAATCCTAGTAATTATGATAGGGAAATACATGTACTTCCCATGGTAAATAATTCCATTAGTAGAATATTTGAATTTTTCTAATTTTGCAGCAAAATTATCATAATGTTGTTCGTCCATAATCAACAAGATAACATCATTCATCTCAGCTTGATCATAGTTTGTTAATGTTATACCATGGAAACAAACATTAAACATATGAACGAACATGAATAATCTTTGATGGTAATTTCATTTTTCCAAGATTAACATCTTACAAGCTGAAATGAGGAAACAGCATATTTGTTGATTGCTTACCAGAACAACTTAGAATTTCTTTGCTGGGTATAATTCACCCACAGCTTAGTTCAACTAATTAAACAAGGAAATATCCTCTTCCATTTTTACTCAAATGCAAGAGAGAGCATCTAAACATGATGGTCTTAACCTCTAAACACATATAATTCTCAAAGTTCAATCAGTTTTAAGCACCAGTACAAATCGGAAAATAACCGAGTATAGAATTACAGGTGATGACCGTTTAGTTAACATCGGAAACATCAGTAACTAGGAAATTTTAATCAGGCTGTCCTTAGTGGAGGTGAAACCAAGATGACACCATCTCCTCTGACAAACAGAAACGGCACTGTACGCCTCGTGGTCTGTAACAATGGTCGAACGCAATATCAAAATCCACATACACGAAATCCATATCACGAGAACTATTAATTAACCAAAAACGAATTTCTAGTTCAATTTCTGAAAATAACAAAATATACTTCAATTTGTGTCTCAAGGAGGTTGAGAATTATGTAATAGCATAACCAGAGCCATTCCTGCTCGCTGGACATTTTATTTGCCAATTCCCAATTGTTTATAAAAGTACCAGTTAAGTATGACTATGAGTAAAACCACCACATGAGCACTAGTTGAGGGTTATATAATACAATATAAGTTAGAGTTGCACATAACGTCATATTCTAGCCAATCAGTGAACAAGGTCATCAATATTTGGATTTCCTTCTCTACTATCTGTGGACAAAAAGCACCGAATTGTACAAGGCAAGCAAAAACGTATAATAGGGCCAAAGGACAAAGAAACATATCACAAAAGACGTGCAGAAACAGTTCTTTCCCTTGGACTACCTAATTTTCCCTTCTAATCTCCAGTCAAGATTAAGAAAATTCGACAGCTGAGCCAGAGCCTACAAAGTTCAACAGCATGGCTTCATAATACATGCATCCCTAATAAAAGGGATATACCAAGATATCCCTTTTATATTGCGAAAACAAAATCCCGCCCTCTATACGAGTGCCCATTAGTCCATTAGTAGGTACGAATCTTGATTCCACCACTTGCATCCATAAGCCACCTTTACCCTATAAAAACTACCAAGTCACCTTTTGACTTGCTAACCACAATGAATTTAATGTACTAAACAGGACGAGAAGTATATGAAAATCCTTTAAACTCATTTTACAGGGAACAGGGTTCAAATTGCACAATCCTATTTAGTAATTGTACAACTACACCAGATTTAACCTAAAGAAGGATTAGTTGTTAAAAAGGGGGAATTTCGGTTCCATAAAACCCTAATTTCCTTAGATCTAAATACCAAATAATGAACTTCTAAATAAGGTGCACCTTCAATTTCAAGTGAGCAATATTCTGCTTCTAAACTGATCAATTACCACCACAAATGACAGACACATTTATATGGCCATTAGCTCCAAGGCAATGTTGAAGTTCTAAACCATCTGAGCCAACTCTGATAGTAACTAGTGGTACTACTCTCTTATATGCTCATGGATAAATAAATAAAACTTGACAAAAAAAAAAGGTAACAGAAGAAAATCCATAAAATCAAAGCATACCCGGACAATCTCTTCGTACGTTTCATCATCAATTTCCACCGATGTAACTATCTCTTCAACATCACCAAGAATCATATTCAAATGCTGATCATAGGCCTGCAAAATTAATATCAAACATGATGATTTCCAACAAAGTCCAGTAAACTACAAATCTTGAAGACCCTCCCAAATCATTAAAGAGGAAAAGAAGAAGTCTTATATTATTTTAGAAGATGTTCAAAATACATTTATTCAATATTCTAAGATGCACTAATACTAATAAAATAATAAGCCATGTTAAGGCCGTTTAGGACCTCTGATATACATATTGAACAAAGAAAACTTTTGCAAATGGATTTTTCACTTCAAAGCACACAATATAGCCTCAAATATTAATTTTTCCAATACATTAGCGCTTCTTTTACCTATTTCACTTGGAACTCATCTCATTAGCATTTTGGTTCAAAAAAACACCTAATTTTTTATAAAAATATAAGTCAAAGTCAACAATTATTTTTAACCACATATTTCATAGGAATCACAACTTTTATCAATTTTTCAACCACATTTTCATGAACTTTTATCAAAATATACAAAAAACTCTGATTTTTACCTCCACCAAACAGGGCCATAACATCTTTCTTCGGTATACTTCTGTAAGCAACTTTAAGAATATCAAAATTAGGTTTCTGCAGCCCCTCGATGTTTCTTAACATTTTATCTCATACTAAACAAAATATTATAAACGAACACACAAAACAATACAAGAAAGTGAGTATAACTCGGAGTAGGTTCACATGTTCAAAATAAAAATACTTCATACCAGCCAATTGAATCCCCAAAATTAATATCTACAACCAGAAACACAAACCACTGAACACTACAAATATTTTAATTGAGTGACCCACTATAGTACATTAACGCAGAAGACCATGGGGAAAGATGAAAAATTACTAATTATATCACTATAGTAGTAAGAAAAGAGAGATAACAAAAAAAAAAAAAAATACAAACAAAAAAACATCAGGAAACCTGAAATTTAGCTTGACAGGAGCTATCACAATTAACCGAAAGATCATAATTTTTGCAACCCCACTATCAATCAATTTTCAGTCTTCTCTCTTTTCCTTTTTTTCTTTTCCAAACCAAAGTAGAAAAACAATCACCAGGAACACACATACAATACAAACATATACACGCAATAAATAAATAGAAAAGAGGAAATCGAACATGGAGCTTGCCGCGAAGCTCGCGGTCATGGCGGAGCTTGACGTAAATGCGCTCGTCGAGACTGAGACGGATGAGGTCCAATGGCTCCTTCACTGCACTCTCCTCTTCGCTTCCCATACTTACACTTGGATTTTAGTTCCTTTGCTGCTTTGGATTTTGATTAAGAGAAATCGGTACTAACATTCAATACAAACCCTAAGGGCATGCTTGGAGTTTCCAAGATTACAACAAGCGTTTTCGAAAGGATCGATTTCAAGTGATTCCAGTAGCGATTTTTAAAACTCTCCAATACACGCTAGAGTGTTATTATTTAACCATTTAAAAAGTTTTTTAAAAGAATAAAATTACTCATATATTATTTAATAAAAAAAAAATTTATATAATTTTTTACTCATGAGTGATATTTTATTTATAGATAAATTTTTTACATATAAGTTAATATTTAATTTTAAAAATTAATTAAAATTTTAAGTTAATATTTTTTACTTATAAGTTAATTTTATAATTTTAAATAACTTGAAGAGAATTTTTTTAACTTATAAGTAACTTTTTTTTATATTTAATAAGTGAATTTTGTCTTAATAGTAATATTTTTATTTCATAACAATTTTTTTTTACATAAAAGTAAACTTTTACTTATAAGTAATTTTTAATTATAATATAACTTTTCTTATCTTACAAGTAATATTTTACTTATAAGTATGTTTAATTATAATATAATTTTTTAAATGATAAATAATTTTTTAGTTAATATATTTTTATTTACAATTTAATTTTGAACAAAATATATTTGGTTGGAAATAATTATTTTATAACAGCAAAAATTAGAAGATTATATGAGAAACGATCAAAATATATCGATTTTGTGGTGGGTTGGGAGAACCACTCAAAATTACACTGCATCGATTTTGGATGGCTTTTAAACCTTTAAAAATTGGTGTCCAGAAAAACTAGTAAGCACCAATTTTTCTAACATCTCATAAACGATGCCACCAAAAATCGGTGAAAAAAAAAATTCCCAAGCCCTAACTTGTGTTGTTTTGTAAAGTGTTGAGCATTAAATTCCTTTTTTTTTTTTTTTTCAGTTTTCACTCACTATGGCCACTACCTAAATTCCGAATTCTATCCGGAAAATTCTAGCATCGGTCCTCTACATATTGAACTAGTTGCAATGTAGTCCAAAACTATTTTAGTTGGCACCGTGACTTGCAAGTTATCTTTTTAATGACATGTTAGTCCTTACTACAAATTTTGTCCATGAAGAAGAATATTTTCTTTCAATCTTTAACCAAAATTTCATTATTCTTTCAAAATCATCAATAAAGTATCAAATCATAGATCAAAATATACTAAAACAATTGAGAAAACCAAGTCAAAGGATAGCGTCAGAATCAAATCTCCACAAAACTATTATAGGTTAATTATTCCCTTTTTGAATTTCTTGACATGAAAAATTGCGAATCGATTCTTTTATTTTTAGAGAATATATTCTTTCGTTGTTGCTAGGCAATGAACTCCCTCTTATCGTGTATTTAGAGTTAAGTTGAGCCATATTTTATAGGAGAGTGTATTTTGTAATAATGTTTTTTTTTTAAGAATATACGATTAAAAAGTAGAAAAAAAAGATTTGGGACTTATGCGTAAAATTATTTTATTGGAAGAATGTAAGGTTGTAAATGAGTTGAGGGAAAATGAGTTATGGATCAATTTGCAAAATTATTTTATTAAAAGAAAATAAATTTGATTATCGAAGGGTTTGAATTAGTCCTTATTGATTGTATTTCTCCCAAGATGAAAGAAAATATATGTAATTTGTCTGTTTGAATTAGCCCCTATTGATTTTATTTCTCCTAGATTAAAGAAAAATATGTGTAATTGGTCTTTTAAGAGCTATTGTTCAATAGCAAATATTCTTGCGATGGGGCTCCTACATTGTCAGAAATATAGTCCATTTGAACTCTGTTTTTTAAATTCACATTTTATAGGACTCACAATTTTTATTAATTTTTTAAACATACATATCAAATTCTATTAAAAATTTAATTTTTAATTAAACCAAACAGTGGACGGTGAAATCACATTTCCTATTTTTCTTCTACCCTTGCCCCACCAACGAGTCTTATTAGATTGTACATTCTTTTTGATATATTCTGACGTTAGGCAGAAAAAAGTGATTTAGAAAAAATCAAAATCAAATCAAGTATAACGCATGTTTGAACATTATTTTTGGCTAAAAATGTATTTTAAAATAATAAATTGATTAAAAATTTGTGATTAAAAATAAAGAAAAAATTTAAATTTACGTATAATATTATTTTATTGAAAATATATTTTAAAAATAATTGAAATCAAGACTTTGTTCAGACTCTTTATAGGGGCGTGTGTTTTTAGTGTGTGAGAATGCAAAAATATGCCCATGTAGGACCCCCACGTCGTCCCATACATTGTATCTCCAACCCTTTTGAGTCCTTGGTGTCACTCTATTGGCTTAAACAATTATTTTTTAATTATAATTAATAGGCCATACGTAAACCTCTCCAACTAATAGCACACACTTGTTCTTTGTCCTTTTCTAACCCGTCAAAATCTATATTGAGATTCTGACTATCTGAGGTTTTGCCTTTTTCAATTCTTGGACACCTGATTTCAGGCTTAATCACTGCAAGATTGTGGTTTTGCTTTGTGGGTTGTCAGTTTCATGTAAGTTCTTGGCTGAAAAGTAGGCTTTTTTGCTCATTTTTTGGTGAAATGATTGTTGCTTTTTTTTTTCTCCTGCGTTTTTGGTAAAGATTGAATCTTTTTTATATTCTTTAATTTTATTTCTGATGATTGGTGTTAATGGGTCCTTGATCTTCCATGAATTAATGTTGGCAAATCCAAGAAAGGAATAATTTTTTGAGCATTTCGTGTGTGGACAATTCTCTGTCTTATGGCATAAGGCGCTGCTTTAGATTATGATTTAGAAATTATAGTTTTAAAATAACTCTACAAGAATTTGGATTTTGCTTTGTGAAGGAATTGAGAAACGTATTTGATTGTTCATGAGCAATATATATTCTATAATTGACTGGTGGCTTTGTAGGTGTAAGGCCTGCTGTAGATTTAAGGGCTTGAAGGATTCAAAAGAACCTTTCCACCGGGTGAAATTGAGGCATTTTCTTCTGAATTTGAATTGTTGATGTGAAGTATTTGTGAGTTTGCTCTGAAGTCGAGATGGAAGGGAATTTTTCATCTGGAAGTATGATGCAAGGAAATGGTTCTTACATAGACTTTGACTTACGAGGGCCAATGAGAGTTCATCATGGCCAACAACATGCTCTTGCACTTCACCAACAGCAGCATCAGCCTCATCCTGGACAAGGATCATCGACAGTTCATCCCACTATTCATGCGAGTTTTCCCCTCACGATAGGACAGATGCAAGATTGCGACAAAACTGTTTCCCGGGCAGACTACAGTAAAAGGGAGAGGGGAAAATCTGCAAGTGATGAGGATGAGCAAACTTGTATGGAAGAAAATGATCTGAGCAAGGGGAAGAAGGCTTCTCCATGGCAGCGTGTGAAATGGACCGACACTATGGTCAGATTGTTGATTACATCCGTTTCTTACATTAGCGAGGAAGCAGCTTCGGAATATGGTGGTGGTGTGAGAAGGAAATGTGCAAATTTACAGAAAAAAGGCAAGTGGAAGTTGGTTTCAAAAGTCATGGCTCAAAGGGGTCATTTTGTTTCACCTCAGCAATGTGAAGATAAATTCAATGACCTTAACAAGAGGTATAAGAGACTCAATGAGATCCTTGGGAGAGGAACTTCTTGTGAGGTTGTTGAGAATCCAGTGCTATTAGACATGATGGATCACATCTCAGCTAAAGCAAAAGAAGAGGTTCGGAAAATTCTAAGCTCAAAGCATTTGCACTACGAAGAGATGTGTTCTTACCATAATGGGAATCGGTTGCATCTTCCCCCTGATCCTGAGTTGCAACGTTCTTTACGCTTAGCCCTTAGAAGTAGGGATAATGAGGATGAGGATGTGAAAAGGCATACACAAGATGATGATGAAGTTGATGAAGAAATTGAATTGGATGGACGAGATGAATCCGAGGAGAATCCCGTTATGTTTGGGGATCACAGGGCATATAAGACGTCAGGGAGTTCTGCAAAGAGGATAAAACAATGTCATAATCATGAAGAATTCAGTTTTGGAAATTCTTTGAATTCTTTGGACTGCAACAGAACTTCCAATATCCAGCAAGAAAATGCAGATGCTGATATAAATCAAGTGCAACCTGAAGGCATGAAAGAAAACATGATGCAAAAGCAGTGGATAAATCAGCATACTCTTCAATTAGAAGAAAAAAGGCTTCATATTCAAGCACAGATGTTGGAACTGGAGAAAGAGCGGTTCAAATGGCAGAGATTTTGCTGGGAAAAGGACAGAGAATTGGAGATGACGAGGTTGGAAATCGAGAAGATGAAACTTGAGAATCAGCGGATGGCTTTTGAGTTGAGGCAAAAGGAAATTGGTTTTGACAATATGTAATCTGTTGTCAAGTTTTGTTTGATCATCAGGGACTTGCACAAACAATTCATATTTCCCTTGTTTAGTCAGTGGGTTTGAGCTTATTTTGCTTGCCAAAGTCTTGTTAGAAGATTAATTTGGAAGCATGTCCCTGCTTATTTTGGTACAGTATACTGGTCTTGTTCCCCCAGATTGCCTTGAATGTTCTGGTATTTGCAGTAAATCTTATAATGTGGGAAATTTTCTGCTTTCGTTTTGCGACCATTACTATCTAGGGTTTTACCTTTTCTGCTTGGAACTTTTGCTTTTAATACAAAGGATTAGTTTTTGTTATGTTCTTATTTTTATGTAAGAATCTCCACATCTATGCCCTGTCTTAAATTTGGCAACATGGTGCATATCTGTTAGGGAGAGAATAGAACCGGCTAAACAAGTTCTAATTTACACAGGTCAAACAACTAAATATTCTCTGCTAAAAGTCTAAAATTGTATAAATTCTTTTAGCAATAGTTTCCCTGGAAGTTCACAAGAAGTTGCAGGACAGTGATGACAAGAACTTTACGTCTGTATATGACGTGATAAAATTCAATGATCTAGCATGTCTACAGCTTAGATATAAGTATAACATGATTTATGCCTAGAGGAATGAGTGTTTTGGGGAGGTAAGAGAAGACTGATTGGATAGAGTCTCGATATTATTGGTGCCCGAAGTAAATGAATGACATCTAATTCTAAATAAGGGGCTGAGCCTGTTCCTTGAGCTTAAGATCTTTAGAGGGGGCCTAGGTGAAATTCTTCTCGAGTGTTACAAGCTAATACTGGAACAGCTCTAAGATTGAATATGAATAATTTTGTCTTAAATGAGAGGTTATGCTATCCTTGATTGGTTTTGGACAGTATCATTCCCATTTTTGACAGTTCATATGTGTATTACCAAGACATTTTACGATGTCACAAGTTATCATTCCTATGAACACTTGTGATTTATAAATTGATATTCTGTAGATGGATTGCATAAAGTTTTAGGGGTGTGTATTTCAAGATATAAGCATATGCAAAACTAACGTGGAATGCTCCTAATCATGTAACTGTTGAACCACAACATGGTATCGGCCACACAAAAGTCTTGGGATCAAGTCTTGTCTTCTCTCATGGATTGTGCACGTTTGAGTCCTTCGATTCAAAAGGGAATCACGCCAGCACTTGAGAGGCGTGTTAGGATCTCAAACAGGTTTTAGACCTATGTATTTCGGCTGTAAACCATCGAATTTCTAAGTAATTAGTACTGTTCGCATATATGAAACTATACTAAACCAGCTTGCTGAATATTTTCTTTGCAGTCTCATTCTCTTTTAGTTTTCGGAATGCACTTGGTAACAGAAATGAATTGATCTCTTGTACGATATGTTGCAATCCTCAGATTGAAAAGTTTCGTCCAGAAGAGTGAACGAAATACTTGAGCTCTTTTTTGCTCTCCTTTTTCCATTTCCAAGTCGTACCAGTACATTCTTGAGTGTCTTTTTCTGGATACATGACATGAATTATTTGGTCATTACTGGACTCTTTCTAAGAACTGTCAGTAATGAAAGTTTGCGCTGCATGTTCCCTACAAAAACTGTCGGTAAGCTCGACTGAATAGGATACTTTACTATTTTTTTCACACCCCTCTCGATGTTTGGCTCACTCAACTTGATGTGATAGGTTACTATTTACCGTTCAAATATGACCTATACAAGCATATGTGTTTGTAGAAGCTGATGCTGATATTTGCATGGAAAATGCCCCTACTTTATCTCAAAAAACAGTACATAAGCTTGTAATTTTATGTCAGTGTCCTCCAGGGGACTGTCAAACTGAAACAGATGCTAGAATTTGGTTCAAAACACTACAAATGGACTGCAAAGAATCAACATATTGTTTTGTACTTTCCGCCCATCAATAACAGAGATTTCTTCATCATTTAGTTCCAAATTTAGCTTCATTGCTTGTGTTCACAGCCCTGAGCATTTATTTTTCTAGGAGCGAAGTGGAGCCATCTGCAAGACATGACACTTGCAAAAGAGCTAAATCCCACATTGTATAAAAATATAAACAATACACATCCAACCCTTTTATTCTCCTCCCCTCATTTGTGTCTGTCCCAAACTCTCCTTACCAATCCCACTCCCCTACACCCCTGCGTCCACCATCCCTCTACTCAAGTGACTCATGTGGGATTGGGAGAGGTAGGGGAAGAGGGGAGGGGTCGTGGGGAAGAGATAGACAAAAAAGGGAGGTGAAGGCTAGTGATTCAACCATTTCAAATTAAAAGCCAACATTTTACACAAGTGGGATAGTGGTGAATAAAAATAATTTGGCTCAAGCTTATCCAATTGTGGCTCACATCATGATTGAGGGCGACATGAGTAACAAAGTTAAATGATAAATATGAAATATACATCGAGGCTTATGTCAAATTCTCTCTCTCTCTTCATCCATTTGTGGGCTGTCAATTGATATCACATGGGATCGTTTACACTGCTGCCCAATATGGGCTTTTTGAGTGCGTCCTTGGTCCATAATGGGCCCCTTACAGTGACACTTGAAAACCTCTTATTGCCTTCACGGGACTCATTCTTCTCACATTTATCTAGGGGTGGCAAATGGGTCGAGTCGCTTGCATGTTTGACTCGTCCAGGCTTGGCTCATAGGTGGCTCGAGTTTGCTTTTAGAAAGACATGAATCAAACTAAACACATTTTCTCTCGGCTGGTGAAATCATGAACCGACTCGTTTTGGGCTCGTGGATGGCTCGATTCCACTCGACCCATGAGACCGAGCCAACGGACCGAATTCAGTTGAGCTTGAGTGTCAAAAGGTTGAGTCGGTTCAGTTCAGCCATTGTCACCCCTACATTTATCTTATTTTTTAAAACTTTTATTTTGACATAGGTTTTGCTATATTCCCATGTGGTGACATTTTTGGTCAACACTAACCACGTAAAAACGCTAAATTGTTACTTTATGGTTCAGACTAGACAATCTACCTATAAAATTACAAATTAGTTTGCAATTTTGTTGAATTTTCGAGCATACAACCTTCTATGATCAAATCAGTCGGATGTTTGAAATGATAAATAGGACAATAACATGTGTACAGTAAATAATGTACGACGACACTTTGACATGATCAAATGAATCCGCATTCAAATTCGATCAACATAAATTATTGACACGTATAATATATTTTGTATATCGATCGAGCAACAGAAGGAAAATTGTTGATTAATTTTATTTCATTACCATATTTCACACTAGCATATGGTGCCGTGATTATTAAAAAGATTTGACTTTTGTGGCAGCGTGACAAGACTTTCACGGTTTTGTCTTCAATTCATTCCAACTTAAAAAATCAAAGAATAATTATTAAAGTTTGACCGAATTCGTGAAATCATGATTTAAGGTTCTTACAGTTGTAAACAGATTCTTTACAATAATTACTGCAGTTGGCTTATTGTCATTGTGGGCTTTGGATACAAACTTTAGAACAATTGTACGTTTTATTAATTTAAAGAAAATCGAATTTCGCAATCGAACTTTCTAAAAGATTAAAATTTTTGTAGAGCGAACGAGTCATATCAATGAGAGGTGTGGGGGCAAGTAGGGATGTACATTAAACCGTTTTAACGTAATTGATACCTCATTTTGTCTTCGAAGTCGCCAAATTTGAGATTACATAGGAAAGTCTCATGGAAAGCTCGTAAATTTGGTAGCCAAGAATAAATGCCCACCTAAATCATTCTATCGCATGTTAGAAAAGATTGTTATTATGTTCCATTGGTCCGCCGTTCTTCATTTTTATCTTTTATTAGAAAAAAATATGCTTAATCGTGAAATAAGAAACCGTTATAAAAAAAGTTGGAGTAGCCATATCGTATAAGTTTGCAGCATCGCTAATAAGATTAATCCAATCTCCTAGTAGGATCAAGTCCATCACGATATTTAGTCGATGTGAAACTTTTGTTCGTACATATCCAATATTATCAACTGAAATAGTGATTAGAGTAATACTATGCCACACAATTATTAATAGACAAGCATATGTACCATATGTCAATTATCATACTTTAGTCATAATTAATTCAAATTGAAAAAAGACTTGAACGTCTTTGAATTCTACTGAAATCAACTTTGACGCAAGTAGTTGTACTTTCAAATCCCTCCAACGACACTAGCTAGCTAAATTATACAGCATTAGGGGTAGGAATCGAGATGAAGACATTTACTGCATAGCATTAGAGAACACTGCATATGACGAATGCTTTTTTCATTGTTTAGTATCATGTGTAAATTATTCAATGTAACATACCAAATACCTCAATACTGTTAAGATTTGGGGTTTCATCTTAAAATGTCAACCTTATTAAGAGGAGTAGTCCAAAATCTTTATTAAATGGTCTGTGTCAACTTCATTTATCGATGTGGAATATATATCCCTTAACAAGCCCCCGCAAGATGGTGGATCATTTGAGCAGACCAATTTTGAAATCCACGTGCTCATTTTATTGTCTTAACAGAATCAAATCACTCGTTGGAGCATAATGGGCTTTGATGTCATGTTAAGAATTGAGGTTCCACCTTAAAAGGTCAACCTTTTTAAGAAGAGTAACACAATCCTTTATAAGTTGGTTTATGTTAATATCTTTATTCGATATGGGATTCTATCCCTTAACATGTCCCCACAAGATGGTGACTCGTTTGAACAGACCAAACTTGAAATCCGTATGCTCATTTTTGGAGTCTTAATCGGATCGAATTGCTCGTTATAGCTTAATGGGCTCTGATACCATGTTGAGATTTGAGGTTCCATCTCAAAATGTCAATCTTGTTAAGAGGAGTAGCGCAAGATCTTTATTAATTGGTCTGTGTCAACATCATTTATCGATGTGGGATATATATCACTTAACAAATACTATGTATGTACACAAAACTTGTAAGTCAGCTTCCTCTAAAAGTTCTTCTATTCAGACAAAGAACTCTAAGA